ATTCCTGCCAGCTTCCAGGCCGCAGGGATAACTTTTCATGCTCCCATGTGGAAGCATTCTTTGCCATTCTATGCTGGCCCTGATAGACCTCTGATCTGATGTCCTGGAGTCTGACAATTCTGTTCCTGCCCACTCCATTCTACACGCATGATGCTTTACATCTTCAACAGAAATCTTCCTCCCTTTGTAAAGCACCAAGATGGCATGCTGAAAATACTGAAGGGGTGTGTTTGTGTGTGAGTGAAAGAGAGCGAGAGCGCGGAAGGCAACATACTTTTCTCATTTGCATAGTAGGAGAAGGCCATCTGGTTGAGGACGCACCACCGCTTCTGCCATTCTGAGCCAAAGATTTTGGGGTCTGTGAAGAGAAAGGAAGCAAGAAAGGGCAAAACAAGGTCGTTGGGCAACGATTGGGAAAGAAACAACAATTCTACAACTCCAATGGGTTTTCTCCTCCACAGCTCCTCCATAAAGGAAAGTGCTTCCTTGTTTTTTGGTTTTTTTAAATTGTATTTTTATTCAGTTTTCTTCAAAGCCATAAACACACACATAGTTGATAATTTATACAAACTTGCTGTGGAAGAGCTTACAGCAGCCTTGTCTTCCATACCCTATAACCAAACTATGCCTCCTTGTTTCTCAGGTGTTTCACCTGTGCCACGCCAATTGTGGACAAGGTGCTGCAAGTGGCCTAGTCATCTCAGCTGTACCATAAACACTCTGGTGGTTTCTCGTGGGATAATTTGATCCTGAAGTTCACAGTGGACAGGTGCTGCATCACTGCTTGGCCTACAGAAGGTCCCAGGTTCAATCATCATCTCCAGTTTAAAAGGATCAGGTAGTAGGCGATGTGAAAGACCTTTCCCTGAGAGCTGGCAACCTTAGTTACTAGGGTTGCCAACCTCCAGGCGATGGCTGGAGATCTACCACTATTATAACTAATCTCCAGGCGAAAGGTATCGATCGAACTGGAGAAAATGGCTGCTTTGGAAAGTGGACTCTATGGAATTACCCCTCGATGAAATGTATTTATTTATTTATTAAATTAGGCTTTTATACTGCCCTCCCCACAAACACGCTCAGGGTGGTGTACAACGGAGTTCTATAAAATACACATAGGATCATAAATATTTTAAAGTACAATTCTAAAACACACCAAACCCACATGGCGCAGTAATACAATTTTAGTCCCCGAGTTTACTTTACTTTAACAGTACTTTAACAGTGGGGGGAGAGGGTAGAAGCAGTTAGTACACCAGCATCTGTTCTCAACTGATTAGCCCACCAGACTGTTGATGTTAAAACCGCTTGATGTTTAAAAGCTGTAGCTGTTAAAAACCGTTGCTGTCCTCAACCATATACTTGGTGGAACATTCTCTGCCTTGCGGGCCCTGCAGAATTGTAACTGATACTGCAGGGCTGTGATGTCAGTCAGAGAGTTCCACCAACCGAAATCCCTCCCTTCCCCAAGCCCTGCCCTCCTCAAGCTCCACCCCCAAAACCTCCAGGTATTTCCCAATCCAAAGTAGGCATCAGCTATAAAAGGGATATATTATTTGCTACTTACCCCTTTTAAATAAATTATGGCTGCGGTCACATGGAGCATTAGGCACATTAGAGGGATGGAAGATAGGCGGATTTTCCGGGCGCGATCTCACCGCCACATCTGGGAAGCGTCGCGCTCCCGTGGCGAACCCGAGGCTTCCCACGGAAGATGCGCGGTTAAAAACTAGTACCTCAGAGGTACTAGTTTCCTGAAACCGCAGGGCAAGGGCGGGCGTCTGATCGCATTTCCGGTGGTAGTTCCGGCGCCCGCCCATGTCCCCTTGGGAAAAGGGTTTTTTTCAAAGTCTTCACAGATGCGCACAAGCACCCAAGGGAGCATGCACGCATTTGAGTTTTTTTTTTTAAAAAAAACCAACCCCGTTTGCCCCGTGCCCCACTTCTTTGCCGCGCGGCAGGACTGTGGAGTGATCGGCACCTCCCCCCTACCACGGGACCTCCACGGGACCTCCATCGGTAGGTCTGCTCGAGCAACCGCGCGGTTTTTAGCCCCGGGGCTAACAGCCACGTTTCCCCCCCGCATTTTCCTGCCCGTGTGACCGGGACCTATGAACACGTGAAGCTGCCATCTACTGAATCAGACACTTGGTCCTTCATGGTCAGTATTGTCTACTCGGACTGGCAGCAGCTCTCCAGGGTCTCAGGTAAAGGTCTTTCACATCACCTACTGCCAGGTCCTTTTTAACTGGAGACACTGAGAATTGAACCTGGGACCTCTGCGGGCCAAGCAGATGCTCTGCCAATGAGCCACAGCCCCTCCCCCGTTGTCTTTCGAGAATCAAGTTCCCGTTTCCGAGTTTTAAAAAGGGACAACAGAGGAAACAAAAGCATACTTTCAGAGTGGATGCGCGTTCAGTACTTGGGCATTTCTACTGGCATGCAAAGTGCAGCATGAGAAGGAGCCCAGAGTCCCTGGCCCAGGGGGCTTGCGATTTTGAGCACAAGGACAATACAGGGATGGAACGTGAACTGACAGATCAAGGGTCCAGTAGCACCTTAAAGACTAACAAAATATGGGGCAGGGTATGAGCTTCCGTGAGTCGCTGCTCACTTCTTCAGATACAGCTGTATCTGAAGAAGTGAGCAGCGACTCACGGAAGCTCATACCCTGCCCCATATTTTGTTAGTCTTTAAAGTGCTACTGGACCCTCGCTCTTTTCTACTGCTGCAGACAGACTAACATGGCCACCCATCTTGACAGATCAAAGGTGGGTTACTATGAAGGTTGGTTAGGAGGAGAACTACCTCTGGATTTCTTTTCCAGGTATCCTTGTTTCAGAATAAGACCCAGCTCCTGAGTGGCCTTCGGACAGCTGATCTCAGCACCTAAAGGGAATAATTTTGGATCACATACGAGAAGTTAAACTTTTTTGTTTGGAGACTGTTCCAACTTATCAAAGGAAACAGAATGGTATTCTGAGCACAACATTTTGCTGCCTATGACCTAATACATGTGCTATTTGAGTGACAACAGAGGCAGCTATTGAGCAATGAACATAAGAAGAGCTCTGCTGGATCAGACTGTCACGGGCTGGGTGTGAAGACTGCTGTTGCAGGCACTTGCCAGCTATCCTCCTCTGCTGCTTCAGAGGGGTCAGCTGTGGTTTCTGCAGGCTCTGTCAGCTTATCCTCATCCATGCCCATGACACAGACCAAGAGTCCATCTAGTGCAGCATCCTGTCACACACAGGGGCCAACCGGTTCCTCTAGAAGGCCAAGAACAGGGCATAGAGCCTGAGGCCTTCCCCTGATAAGAACATCAGAAGATCCCAGCTGGATCAGACCAATGGTCCACCTAGTCCAGCACCCTGTCTCACACAGTGGCCAACCAGTTCCTCTGGAAGACCAAGAACAGGGCATAGAGGCTGAGGCTTCCCCTGATGTCGCCTCCTGGCTCTGGGATTCAGAGGCTTAGTTCCTCCGAATGTGGAGGTTCCCTTCAATCACCATGGCTAGTAGTCACTCATAGATGTATCCTCCATGAATCTATCTAATCCCCTTTTAAAGCTGTTTATCCCTGTTTCTATGTGGTCAATGCCCCAAATCAAATAAATAACATGAACTATCAATCAATTGGAGAGAAGGCATATTATAGTGGTTAGAATGCTGGACTTGGAGCCTGGAGATCCATGGAAGTTCACTGGGTGACCTCGAGGCAGTTACTCTTTCTAAGGCTAACCCTGCCTAACAGGGTTGTTGGTAGAATATAATGGAGAAGCCGCTGTCTCCCATTGGGGAGAAAAACAGGATAGCAATAAATCAATAAAATATTTTGGGTCAAATGACTCAAACAAAGGCACACCAGTACTGCATCTCCACTGAAATCCAAATGTTGCATGGTACAGAATTTAGATTTTGGCATAGGATGATGACCCCGCAGGGGTATTGTCTACAAATTCTGTTATAGCTTTTTAGGTGGGCCAAAACTCCATGCACATACTTTGCAGCTGGAAATGGGCTGAAGAGATCAGGTAATAAGAACATGAGAACATAAGAGAAGCCATGTTGGATGAGGCCAATGGCCCACCCAGTCCAACACTCTGTGCCACACAGGGGCCAAAACCCAGGTGCCGTCGGGAGGTCCACCAACAGGGCCAGAACTCCAGAAGCCCTCCCAGTGTTGCCCCCCAAGCACCAAGAATACAGAGCACCACTGCCCCAGACAGAGTGTTCCATCTATCTCTTGTGGCTAATAGCCACTGATGGACCTCTGCTCCATATGTTTATCCAATCCCCTCTTGAAGCTGCCGTTGCTTAGAGCTGCCACCACTTCCTGCGGCAGTGAAACCCACATGTTAATTCCTCACTGGATGAAGTACTTCCTTTTATCTGTTCTAAGCCTACTGCTCATTAATTTCACAAGTTCTTGTATTGTCGTTGCTCCACCAGTCCCGTTTCAAATGCAATGCACATTAAAGGTGCTTCAACAAAACATTCCGTTGGGAGTGGCCAGCACAATTCCTCTTTAAGTAAGAGGCATGGGAGTTCCAGCTTACTTGAAGTTGCACCCTTTCTTTGATCCCAGAGATTTGGGATCTGCCTCTGCTTTCTCAGTGGTAAAAAAAAAGTAACAGTACATTTTTAGAGGCACTCTTCCTTGTCATTACTTCACACATACCAAGCACGGGTGTTGAGAAGCTGAGAGAACACAGGCTTCACAACAGCCTGGCCCTGAGTTTTAGACAGATCAGTGAAGTTCCACGTACCCTCCCTTCATAATTGGAAGCTTTGCACACCATGGATGCATTTAACACCCATCTTGGCACATCAAACGCGGCCCCGTGCATCGATCTCCAGTCTGCCTCAGCCAGAGATTTACACCGTCTCCCAGACATTTACATAACCTTTTGCCTAGTCTGCTTGTATTTCTTTTTAATTAGCTGGAAGCTGGAAACGCAGAGTCAATTAATTCTTTCCATTTCTCAGCGGTGAGGAAGGAAGGGGAAAACCAAAAAGAGAGGGGAGGGGCCTCAGCAGGGTACAATGCCAGAGAGTCCCCCCTTCAAAGCAGCCATTTTCTCCAGGGAAGCTAATCTCTGTCAGCTGGAGATCAGTTGTAAAAGCGGGAGATCCCCAGGCCCCACCTGGAGGCTGGCACCCCTAGGGGGACACCAGCCAGGCTGGCTCGGAACATTTTGCTTCTGCCCCTGGAACATTTTGCTGCGGCCCCTGGTTGCCTAGTGTGAGCCAAAAGGTGCACGCCCCTATCCTGCGCAATGCTGCAAAGAATGCAGAGGCCTAACTCGCAAACGGGACACTCTCCAAATTCCATGCAACACCAGGGGCAATTCCACCCTGCCTGATTGGCACCCCCAAAATATAGGCTCCTCAAGCAACTAGTTGGGTGGCCTGTACAGCCGGCACGAGCTCCGAGCAGGAAAAAGATGCGGACAAGATAGCCATGGATAAACGCCAAGGGAGCAGGCAGGAACAGCATCCACACGCGCTCTCTTCACGCCCCTTCCCCTCCACTGCAGAAGTGCAGAAACACCAACATGATGACAATTGTGCTGCTCCTACACCCCAGCCTGGCAACTGCCTTTTCCCTTCCCTTTCTGCTTAGGGATGCCAGCCTCCAGGTGGGAGCTGGAGATCCTCTGGAATTACAGGTCATCTCCAGATTACAGGGATCAGTTCCCCTGGAGAAAATGGATGTTTTGGATGGTGGACTCTGTGGCATTGTACCCCACTGAGGTTCCTGCCCTCCTCGGGCTCCTCCCCCAAATCTCCAGGAGTTTCCCAGCCTGGATCTGGCAACCCTAATTGTCAGTGGTCGGGGGGGGGGACATGGCAACCCTATTTCCACTTCCCAGCTCAGCCAGGAACAAGGAACACATTAATTTCAGCTCTCATTTGGCGTCAGGTTCCTACCATGGTTTTGCATTTAAAGTTTCTAGCCCTCAGTGTTCAAAAAACAACCCCGTGCACTGCATTTTACTCAGAGCTTGTCTACAAATAAAATAGTCAGAGACTGTTTGTAAAAGGGCTGTTTTTTATGATCTTTTATACTGCCAAAGGATTCTAGGGTATTTCAGCCACACTTTGCTGTTGGCTTTCTTCAGTCATGCAGAAAGCACTGGGGTCGGATCCTACCACTCCATTCCACTAACGAGGGAGCCTTCCTCAGGGGGAAATTTCCATCTGCTGGAGGAACCCTCCACACTATGGCCAGAATGCAACTCCAAAATGGGGGAGATAACTACCCCCAGGGCCATTTCAGCTTGCAAAAACAGAGCAGGGGGAGGCAGGGGTCCCTCTTCCACCCACACCTTCATTCTGAGCCAAATCAGGCTCCCCCCAGTTGCTGTGTGGCTGCAAAGAAAGCCAGACCAAGCTTGCCCAAAAAGTATCACGTTGTTTGTTTGAGGGAAATGGGTGGATACAGGCCGCTGGGTTTCTGGATGGAATTTCAAGCTCCACCCACCACGGAGGACAAGCATGGCATTATACACATGATGACTTAACCTAGGATGAAGGAGAGTGAGTTGAGAACCTTAGATCTTGGCACAAACCGACATGTACCAAAACAACTGCCGTTTTGTGTGCACAGGGCAAGAGGGTTGCCAGCTCCCCCCTGGCTACTGGCGGGGGATGGGGAGGAATGAGGTAGCCAGATCCAGGCTGGGAAACGCCTTGAAATTTGGGGATGGAGCCTGGGGAGAATGGGGACTTCACTGGGTACAACACCCTAGGTCCCACCCTCCAAAGCTTTCATTTTCTCCAGGAGAACTGATCTCTGTCATCTGGAGATGAACTGTAATTCCGGGGGATCCCCAGGTCCCACCTGGAGGCTGGCATCCCTACAAGGGCAATGAATGTATTCTCAAGCTTTCAGTACCTGTCATTGGAAACTCAGGTTTGCTATGGATACACATTCACATGTACCAAAGCTTGGGAATGTGTGTGTTACCAAGGGTTGCCAGCTCTGGGTTGGGAAATTCCTGACGGTTTTGGGGATGGAGCCAGGGGACGGTATATAATGACATACTGTATTTACTTATTTGTTTCAATTCATATCTCACTTTTCTTCCCGATGGGGACCAAAAGTGGCTTACATCCTTCTACTCTCCTCTTCTTTTTATCCTCACCACAACAATCCACAACAATCCTGTGAGGTAGGTTACACTGAGATTGTGCGATTGGCCCAAGGTCACATAGCAAGCTTCCTTGGCAGAGTGGGGATTTGAACCTGGGTCTCCCATACCCTAGATTGACTCTCTAAGCACTACACCACACTGGCTCACATAACGCGATGGTATTAGATGGCATCAAAGTTTATGAGGATTCACATCACTGGTGAGGAACCTCACTCAGTGCCACAAACCCTTCTTTCCACTTGTCAGAGAGCAGACTGAAGATTAGAACCTCTAAAAGGAAATATGGGTTACAGCAAGCCCGTAGCCACGATTTTTTTAAATGCAAGGGGCCTTTAAATAAGCCAGGGGACACCCTGCAAAGACAACCCCCCCCCCAAGGGAGTGCCACAAATAAAATAAAAAATTGGAAGTTGAGGGGCCTGGGCTGGATGGGAAGTTGGGGGCAGTGTTCCCTCTAAGGTGAGTTAGTGTGAGCTAGCTCACAGATTTTTAGCCTCCAGCTCACAGATTTTTGTCTTAGCTCAGGAAGGAGGGCTCCAGAGCAAGCTAATTTATGCAGTATCCAAATCACTCGCTCACAACTTTAATGCCAACAGCTCACAAAGTAGAATATTTGCTCACAAGACTCCACAGCTTAGAGGGAACATTGGTTGGGGGTGCCTTGGCAGTAAGTCAGGGGGCTGGGCCCCGAGATGTCCCACTGTAGCTATGGGCCTGGATTACAGGTAG